ATGATTAATAGCATTAATATTGTGAAAGATAGAACCCTCATACATTATGGAATAATAGTCATCACATTTTTCTTCACAAACAACTTTAGAATCTCCAAAGAAGAAATAACACTACTTATCCAAATTTACAAGCCATCCTTCTTTACAATTAGACAATTAAAATTCTGGCAAATTACGCACAACTCTTAACAATTATATCTACATTAGAACCCATTTTTATCAATTAAATCATCACATTCTTCATAATTTTCCACTATAATTCCGTCACCACATATAGTTTCACATTTGTTTTATTACTCATCCAATTTCCATTCAATGGTATCACTTTATAAACATCCATTTTAGTACATAAGCTACACGCCTGTTAACAACTGAATTAACATAAATAGCATCCATCATCTAATAGATTATATATATCTTCACAGATATTCTCTTAGTTCACTAATACTCCATCATCACACACTAACACTAATTTCTAAAATTTAGTATTTCCATTTATATCCTTAGACACAAGAACACAAACTCCCTTAATGCATTCTATCAATTAATAGAGCATGTTATTTAACATTAATTGCAAGGAATATTCTGATCATAATCATATTATTCTTCTTCAAGAATAAAAATATTGTCACCGCAAATACTATGGCAAGCTCCATCAATTTATAAATACAGAATAATAGGTTATTATTTCCATTTCTCCAAACCATTTTCTTTATCTAACCAAAAACAATCAAATGATAAATAAATTTAAATAGAATAAATAAGAATCCTTTTAATGTTGAATAGGGTTATATTAATTATTGAGATTGATCAGGCGTAAACGCTAAATCCATGTAAATAAGCAAATAAGAGGATTAAATTCAATTATTGTAAATAAAAAGTAGCTGAGCCTGTTAATAAATCTAATATTTGAGAAACGTATATTAATTTCTCGTACGTTAAATAAAGTTAGCAAAGGCTTCATGAGAATCTAGTCACAGATTCCCTCTTCACAATCTAAGAAATGAGAGAGAAAGAAAAGGGAGTTTCCTAGAGCTTGAAGAAATTAAATAGATACATTAATTTTAATTTTAGAAACATCACTACAACCACCATGGTTAATTAAGAAAATTAATTATAATCTTTGTAAAATTAATTCATACCAAAAAATTATCAAAATTAATCTAGGTAAATTATGAGGTGTAAATTTTAATAGTATTTGTCATATGACAACTTTAACTAATAGTTAAGTATTAACTTGAATTTCTTAAGTCATTAAATTTAGAATCAATCTTGTAGATGGTGTTTTAATATCATTTTATGATATGATAATGCTAACCTAATTTTCGGATAAAGTTTAAAACAGAAATATTTGATAGTTAAGGGTCAAATTTTTAAGCTATCATTATTTTTGCCCTTTCTATTAATACCTTATATTATCCTAATTTCCATAATTGTCGGTATATTTTATAAGTTCAACATTAAGAAGTTGAAATAGATTAAATTTCTATCTTAATCATTAGATTTGATTAGATTTTTTTTTTCATTTTATCAATTTAATTTGATGCTGTATTTTCATTTCCTGAATCTATTAACTTTGAAGTTAAAGCCGAAACTTGACAAAATTATGTTAACCCAGTTTGAAACTTCCAAAACACAAATCTTTGTCATATAATATTTTATTCTGTGAAATAGATTTCAATTCAATTCTATCATCAGAGAAATTTTATCATCTTCAAATATTTCATTAGTGAAATTTAATATTTTTTTGCACCCTTTTAACTTGTAATGAAAATATTTTCTATCATCAAAATAGAACTCAAACCTCATAAAATTTATAGTTACCAATATTTAGAACAGTTTCCATTAGACTCCAAATATATCTGAGGCATTCACTTATTCTCAGAATATTAACTACAAAATATCGGTTTAAGCCTCGACTTTTAATTTCCATATTTTATTTTGGATTTTGTATTAAGGATTCTTAATCTTCTTAAAATAACAACCAATCATTTATGAGGAAGAAAATGATAAAAGGAGGAATTTAAAGTTAATTTAATAATTTAATAAAAATGTCCAATCCAAAGTTTCGAAGTGTACTATTAACATTTTTTTAGATATTAATTGATTAACCTATTCATCAAAACTGATTAAAGATTGATTGTTAATTACCAAATGAAAAAAAAATCACTTTAAAAATCCAGAGAGTTCTATTAAATATTTTCAAATGCTTACTTCAATTTTGGCATATTTTTCTAAAACATTTTCTCCTTTAGGAATTTAATTATGAATTTATAGTCGATATTTTTGATTAATTATTCAAGGGTAAAAATCTATTTTTCAAATTTAAAATAATTCTTTACTTTTTTCGTTTATTATTGAGGTGTCAACTTATTAATCAAAATTGAGAAAATTATAATTAAGGCAAGAAAAACAAAATAATTACAACAACAAAGCAAAACAATATTATTTTAATTTTATAACATATTTTATATGTTCAACAATGTATCATTTTGATACCCCCTTGGCTGTTCAAGGTCCACTCTCGAAGGATAGGAATGTCTAAATATTTCTTCCTGATTGAAGGCATGTGTGCACTATTGGCGGATCATCATGTCATCGATTGTTGTCATTGCCATTCCTCTATATTCTTGCATCATATTCAATTGGTTGACGAAGAACTTCCATTCTTGATTGTATTTTCCAAATTTTCTGTAGAATCATTCTCCAAAACTATTGTCTCCTTTTACTCTAAATGATGATTATTATTGGTGCATTGTTTCCATGATAGAAGGTTTAAATGCCTGATTCTGCATACGTCAATCATTAGAAAGAAATTTTTGGATGGAGGTACTGACTCTTTTTATTCTTGAAGTTGTATCTATCCTCAACAGATTGTTAAAAATTATTTATCTAAATAATGAGATTTTTTTTTTGCCCAAATTTGGAAATTAAGATACAAAATTAAAATCAAAATCTCATTCATTCGGTTGTCTCAGCTCAAGGATTGCTTCTTTGCTTTAAGGATCAACCAGTTCTCTTTTTAATTTGTCTAATTCTTTATCTACTCTAATTTTAAAGGAGTTTTCAGTTTATTCTATTCTCAACTCAGTAATCAATTCATTCATTGTAAGGGATAGATGAAATTCTGTTATATATTTATATGTCATTCTTTATTAGTGTTGTTAAGATATAGCCTATGAGAATTTGAATAGTAAATGGATATTATCATGAATGCAAGCAAGTTCTGAATTTTCTTAGATTGTATGATCAGTTTTTGTTATATCTAATCCTTTGCAATCTAGATATCTTCAAATAACTTTTTGGATTTGTAATTCGTATATATAAAATTTATTAAGGTATCATATTCTTTGCATACCAATTTAACGAAATTATTTGGTATGTTTAATGGTAATCTCATATAATACAAGGAATAACAAATAAATTAAAAAGTTACATATTTAGTTGGTTTAAAGGAGTTATGAGGAATTAAAAGTATTAAGAGTTTTCATCTACATTTTACATTTCCATTTTCCTATAAACTTCTTTGCTTTCAAATCCTAAAAAGAGATAAGTAATTGGTCCAACGATTATTGTTAAATCATTACCTCCTCTGATAACTCACTTCCCTCCTCTTGTTGTATCTTAACTTTAAATATCTTTACCTTTCCTCTGATATTCTCCATATACTTTCTCTAATTCTTCTTACCTATTCGTTTCTGATCCTAATCAAAATACTAAAATAAAAAGAAAAGTTAAGACTCATTAGAATTTTCTTCTAAAATCAAAGTTAAGTTGAATAAGAAGGTAGAGATTTCTTCATTGCTAGATAAAGAATTAACGCAAAACGTTGGAAAGAAAGACACTAAGAGAAAAACAGATACAATGAATCAAATGAACAAAATTACTCGATAGATGAATGAAGGAATTAGAGAAGATCTATGAATAAAAATATTCTAAGATTAGAAGATTATATAATTACTAAAAATTTTTCGCTCACCTTATAAATGAAGGTTGAATTGAGGGATTAATCTTTGAAAATATTAGAATTAGAATAGTAAACTAGTTAAGCAAAGCATTTGGGCATCACAAATGTCTTCCAAAATTCACTGATGGGATTTATAGCCTTGAGTAGAAGGACTTCGGCAATTCGCAGCTGGGCTTTTAGTCTTCTGTTCTAAAGCGGGATGTATAAAAAAATAATAACCACATTTCAAAAAAATTAAAGTATTTTTCAAAATAATATTAAATTCTTTTTAAAACAATTCAATAAAAGAAGAAGAAAAAAAACCATAAAACCAAACCCCATTATTATTATAATAGAAATAGGTATTTATTTATTCAATTTCATATCTCCTTCCGATATTATAATTCTAGTATTTTCTAAAATCCAATTTCCAAACTTTAGGAACTTTAAGTTTGAAAGGAGAATTTGGAAAGTAATAAGGATTTGATTTAAGTTAATTATTCAAATCAAAATTAGGAAGATTTAGAAGATTAAATGAAAGTTTAATAAAAACAACAGTGATTTATGATAATTAAAAATATAATCTTCTTTATTTTGACATTTATATTTTTTACTAAAAACATAATTAGATTAAAAAATAATTTGGACTAATACCTTTTGAATTTATGGATTTATTTTGAACAATTATTTGGTGCAATCCTAGTTTATAGAAGGATGGAATATAACCATCTTAGTTACATGCTAATTTTCTTTGAGAGCCAGCAATTTTAACAAGTAACCAAATTTTTTACAAAAAAAACATTTATTACAATAACGCGATTATGTACAGAGTTTAATCGAAGCTATCTTTCTCAAAAAAGAAACAGTTTGATCCCTCTCCTCATAAATAGAAAATTAAAAATAGTAAATATCGAAAATTATTGAAAGAAATAACTATATGCAATGTTAGTTGAATTATCAATGCAAAGGATTTATGGTCTTTAAGTTCTTACCGAGAATCTTGTTGCTTGAGAAATAGTGGTTTTGATAATTTGTTTTGTATTTTATTTGATATTCATAAAGAATCAAGTTATGCCAAAGTTTTTGTGATTTGTCACTAGTCTAACTTATATCAATTCCAACACTTTACAAAGTTTGCTTTTCTTACTAAGAATAATATGTAAGGTACTTTTAGTTTTATAGCATAAAGCTTAAAATAAAGTAATATAAATTCAATATTATTTTCAAATAAAGAAAATGAATTGCACTTATCATTGTCGAAATCAAGTATCATTGATTTGCATAGCTCCTCACAAGTGTTAATGTTAAAGAAAACTGTGTACTTAATGTTAATATGAGCACGGAGTAGATTTGAAATATACAGTTCCGATAGAAATTTTTGAAAAAATGATGAAGAAGAAATTCGAAGAATCCTACCTTAATTAAAAATTTGAATTAGCCCAATAAAGAACAAATTTTGAATCAATGCTTTCTTCAACTCAAAAAAAGTTATAATAAGTTTGGGATGAGTTAGCAGAATCAATCAAATAGATTTACGATATGATAGAGATGGAAGATAAATCTTTTTTAAAAATCATTAACAACAATATGCATCCAACAGAATTGTCAAGTATGGATTTAGAAAAATTAATCCAAATTATTAATGGAAAAACATTAGATAATTGGAAGGATTAGAAAAATTCTTATTTGAAGCGGTTGGAAAGAACGTAAAATGTATGGAAATAGGAAGTTGAAGTTTTTAGCAATAAGATTAGAAAAAAAATGATGTCTAGATTTCAATCAATAACAGAAGCAGCCTAAGTTTATAATAGAAAGAATGATTTGTATAAGGTATTATCTTAGATTGAAAATATTGATGAATCATTTCTAAATGAGACATTGGAAATGTTTAAGAGAGACAAAATAACAGATTGCCTCATATACCTTTCAAATAAGAAGTATTAAGAAATGAAGTGGAGGTTTATTTATGATATTCTTAAAAATATAAGTGAAATAGACTTTAATATATAGAATTACTCATCTGAAAATTATGCATACATTAGGAAGAATTTAATAAAATACATATCTTAGAATAAGCAGATCATTGAGTTTTTGAAATTTCTAGTACATCTAACAGCCATTGATTAGAGATTTATCTAATGTGGATCCAATTCTATTAATATATTAGTAGAAATGAAGGTGGATTTTAGGGAATAAAGCTTTGAGAATATCAGGATTTAAAGTACTTCTTTAATTGGTGGAAATTTTGTAAAATGCAATTTTAATGGATCCAATTTTTATAATGTTGATATTAGTGGAATGAACTTAAATTACGCTTAATTATTTAATTGTAAATGGAAATGTATAAAAATACATAAGTTGAATAAATTTGATGGTCATGTTGGTTGTGTTCGATCAGTGTGTTTCTCTCCTGATGGTAGTACATTAGCATCTGGTAGTGTAGATAACTCTATCGGTTTATGGAATACTAAGACAGGATAACAAAAAGCCAAATTATATGGTCATAGTAATTCTATCATATCAGTCAGTTTCTCCCCCGACGGTAGCACATTAGCATCTGGTAGTTTTGATAACTCTATCGGTTTGTGGGATGTTAAAACCGGAGAAAAAAAAGCCAAATTATATGGTCATACTAATTCTATCTTATCAGTCTGTTTTTCTCCTGATGGTACTATATTAGCATCTGGCAGTGATGACAAGTCTATCCGTTTATGGGATGTTAAGACAGGGAAATAACAGGCCAAATTAGATGGTCATACTCATTATATTCGATCAGTCTGTTTCTCTCCTGATGGTTCTACATTAGCATCTGGTAGTGATGACAGTTCTATCCGTTTATGGGATGTTAAGACAGGATAATAAAAAGCGAAATTAGATGGTCATACTAGTACTGTATATTCAGTCTGTTTTTCTCCTGATGGTAGTACTCTAGCATCTGGTAGTTAAGACCATACTATTCGTTTATGGGAAATGAAAACAGGAGAATAAAAAATCTAATTCGATGACAATTTAAACTCAATTCTATCAGTTTGTTTCTAACCTGATGGTTCTACATTAGCATCTGGTAGTGTAGATAATTCTATTCGTTTATGGGATGTTAAAACAGGAAAACTAATTATTAAATTAGATGGTCATCAAGGTTTTGTTTATTCAGTATGTTTCTCTCCTGATGGTACTAAATTAGCATCTGGTAGTTTTGATAATTCTATTCGTGTATGGAATGTTAAGAAGGATCTACTAATTTAGCTAAATATGTCACTTTAAAGTTAGTTCATATTGTTCCAAATATGCAAAAATCCTGTTTTGTAAGTCTAAGGAACTTTAATCCTGAATTCAATAATAGAAAATACTAAAGGTTAAGATTTACAATAATTATTCAAAGCTTAAGGTAGCTTGATTTTGGAAGACTAAATGAATTTTAACAACAATTAATGAGATTGATATATTAATGAACAATACAATTGAATTTTTACATAATTTACTTTTGAATAACGCCCTAATCTATTCTGAAGTTAAGTATTTGATCTTATGTTCTTATTTTAATCGATTATTTGAAGTAATTAAAAAAATCTGAACGGATAGTTTCAACTTAAAAACCCTAAAAAAATTTAACTTTTTAAAACTGCCAAAAAATAACTCAATTTTCTAAATCAAACTATAAATTAATAATTTTCTCCACGAATTCTTAAATCAAGACTTATTCCTACATTTGCAAAATTATTGCTTTAAAATTCCAACTAAAATATCCCACTCTCTCTCTCCTATCTCTCTAGAACACTCTTAATTTATTCTTCCATTCCTCCCCAATCTACTAAAATGTAGAGGTGCCATAGTGGTTGTAGGTAGTAAGTAATAACCACAAACTTAAGTAAATTTTAGAATATATAATAAAAAATCTATTTAAAATAAGTTTCAAATTCTTATTTAGGTTTATAAAACAATTAAAATATGTCGTTTAAAATCGCATGCAGCATTTTTGATTTATCTATATCTTCAGAGACCTATGATAACTGAGCATTTTAAATTAACTATGCTAAAGTAGCTCTGGGTCACTTTTATAATCTTAATTACAATAATCTCTTTTCATCGCAAGGTACAATCGAACAGAATAATAAAATCATTAGAGTTAAAATTAAATACCCTTAAAGCTTGAAAGTAATAAGAATGCTGATTTTTTGGTAAGTAAGAAATTAATAAATTATGTTAAGTCATAAATTTATTAGTACAAGTCTAACAATTATTATAAAATATTCAAAAAAAGCTTACAACATTCTTTAAATTCTCTTTAATCGATATTCTTTTTTTTCTTCTTTGAACTCATCAACCATAAGATCATTCATCCCATGTGAATCCATGATATTATAAGCATGCATGCTTATGCTGCAAATACAACCAGTTAGCAACTGATTAGTCATTTTTAAACTCATACGATTCATCAAAAGGAATCATAGGTAGAATCTGCTTCTCAACCAACTTAAATATTACCCACAATTTTCAATAATTTTTTGTTCTTGTCAACACTACTTTGATTTTTTCTCTTGTTTTACATATTTTTGGATCAATTTTTAGGTGAGATTTAATAGAAAATGCATCGCACTTTTAAACCTTTTTACAGATTTGGATGTAACGCTCTGAAGTCTTAATACATAAGACATAAAATTGGACATTTTTTAGAAGGAATAATGATTGACATTTTTTTTTAATTTTAATTATATTAGAAATGATTTATTCTTATAATTTATAAATTCCTTAGTGGAAGTGAAAGTAGATGATGATCCCCTTAATATATTGATGAAACTATATACTTAGGACCGTCTAATAAGGAATGATGAATTATATTCGGAGAGAATATGGTTTAATAAGAAGAGGAAGGAATGATTAAATTTTTAACAGTCGGGATTAGTTTCAATTGATATCTGGTATAATTATTATGTTACAATCTCGATTTGTACAAGATTTTTTGAGATGGAAGATACACTGAATCATTTATGCTAGGAAATTATGGATCTCATCCTTTGAGAAAATTATACATTCAAATTAATGATTAAATCACATAAATGGTATTTCTCTTTAATATCAGAGTAACCTTTGAAATATTTACTCTTTTGTGAAAAGATCCTTATTTAAAAAATTCTACTTTGCTTTCAACGAATACAACTTCAATTTCAAATCAGGGTTACTCAAAAAAATATTTATAATAACCAATGAGTCCTTGTGAACTGATATTTTTTATATCCTATTTAAAATTCCTATTGAGATTTGATTCATTCAACAAAATAATTTGTTTACCTATCAACTATCTCCTACTTCATCATCATTCATCTGCAAATTATTTTAACTGTTACATTAAGATAATATTATATGTGCTGAAATTTAAGTTTTGTTGGTAGGTTTTCAACTTTATTTATATTTACACCAGGAAAAGAGGGTTATGAATGTTATCTGTTTAACTTTAATTTATGTAGCAAGAATAGTTAACCCTTGATGAAGATTGCTTGATCAGTAAGATTTAATAATTAGATTAGAGGGATAAGCCTAGAAATACGGACAGTTGAACTTGATTTTATACTATGCTATGCCATTAACTATTATAAAATACTGTTGATGTTGCCAATTAAGAACAAGCTAATCTGATGCAAAAATATAGTAGATAAAAAAGTTTGCTTTGAAGATGCAATTCATACATTGTTTTGAAATTATTATATTGTCATCTGTGATTTTCACTCAGTTTACCTTAACCTGACAAGGAGCACTGTTTATTGAATTCTTAAGATTTAAAGCTATCGCAAGCAGTTGGAATTTTGGTAATCAATTAGCTTTTAGAAAAGGTGCATCACACACTCTATGCAAATTTAAAGAAATTTATGGTCATAAAATGGGATAAATATGTAATTAGATAAATAATAATTACTAGTAAACAAATCAGAATTTTAAGAACTGGTAAGAAAGTTTATTTACACTGTTATTCTTGGATAGAACAAATTCCTGCAACAAAAAGAAAGACGAAATGAGAATTAAGACTGTGTGGTTTTTAATTGAATGATTGAACTGGACCTAAAGTTGAAATTAAGAAAATGTTTTCTAAGTTGATTCAGGAGAAATATTACCAAACTTAATTGAAAATATTAGGCTAAGATACATATGGGTAATTTACCACTATTAAAGTATTATCAACATAATTGTAAGCTGAATGAGGAGGAGAGTTGTGATTAATAAAGTGTTGGTTCTTAGAAGAACTGCCTTTTTGAGGGATTCAAATATATTGGAATTAGGATTGCAAAAAGAGAAAAACTGAAGCATCATACACAATTAAAAAGGGAATGATAATATAAATAGTGTCCTAGTTAGCATTGGTTAGAAAGATCTTACCATTCAGAGCACTCACTCAAATTTGAAATATTGATCTTTTAGAATCCATTATTTAATCTAAAATATTCTTATAATAGTTTAGTCTTGTTCATTCTCTTTAATCTTTATTTCTTATTATTAACTCTTCATTTATGATATTCTTTCTTTTGATTACTCAATCGTTCTCACTTTATTATTATTTAATTTATCAACTAAACATGTACCAGAAAAAAACTTAATCGATTATTTATCTGACAATTCTAAGTCTACAGCAATAATTCCTAATTGTGAATTCTACATATTGTCTCCTTAACATCCTAACATTACTTTTATTGCAAAATATTCATATTCTTTGATTAAATTAATATCAATATCTGAGATATTTCAAATAAATAATTTAGATTCTTTAATATAACATCTTTAATAACAACTTTATATATAAAAAATACAATTTGTTACTCTATCACAATTAGAATATTTAATTAGCCACTGTTGACAATTAGAGGAATTGCTGTAATCAAATCTTAAGAGGCGATCTAATTTCTATGAAATATTGTTGATTTAAATTAATATCTTGCATTATTCTTTTTATTTAAATAATTATTGATACATTTTAAATAAATTTTAACAATTTATCTGTTTTCAATTTAATTTTTGACATTGATGTATCCATTTCTTTTAACATCTTGAATCTTGCTTTGAATTGAGTTAAAATTTTAATCGATTAATTCATTAAATCATAAATGCTTTCAAAATATTTTGAAGATAAAGTAGTTACTTAATCGAATAATTATTAATATTTACTGAGATATTATGTTTAGTGAAGCAGAGCCGATGAAGACTCAAATTTTCAAGCCTTAAATAAATAATAATTTCTGCTTTACAACATTTCCATCTCCAATTATTGAATTCCTGCTCTAAACATCAATTAAATTTATCTTCTTCAAATTATTAGTCTATTGAGATTTTAAAATGAAATAAATCAAAGGATTCCATATCAAAAATAATTGGCAACTCTGTTCTACTCTACATATATTCAAGCCACCATTTTAGTATTTCTTAACTACGCAAAAACCTATATCTTAACACTTTTTTCGAGTAATTTTTGCAATATTTTTTGTTTGATGTGATAATAGAATTGCTAAAGTTTAAAATATTAATCTAATGTTAGCCTTTTAACAAATTCTTTTTTTTAAGTTTTATAATTATAAATTTTAGAAGCCAAAATAAATTCTTCATAATATGAAGAGTCGTTTAAAAATAACTCTTTTCTGAAAAATAAAGGCAGTATAGATGATAATTAAATGATGTGGAATAACATAATAATAAATGCTATATTATTAATTCATATTTCAACATCTGACTTCAAATAGTAGAAGGCTTCTACCTTTAAGAAATCCATCCAATTATTGACTACGATGTTATCTCCACCCATATTTAGTATTCTAAACCCTTAAACAAATTAATCTGGAAAATTTATGGTAAATATACTAATTGCCTTGCTGTCAAAAATCAATTTTTCTTGATTCTCATTTTATATGTATATTTTGATTCGGTAAAAGATGCCCAAAACCAAATTTTTAAAGTATTTAATTCATAACTTTGAGGAAGCTGAAAAGTAATTGATTGTCCTTGCAAGCTCCACGTATAATATGATAATTAGTAAATTGCATCGTTTAGACAGCTTCCGTAATTTCCACCTAAAAAAACATTTTATTTTCTTGATGATATGATTGCTCCTCTATTTAATTATAAGACATTCTTATATTTTCCTCTGATGATTGATAACAACTCATCCTATTGTTTCAAACAAATTTAAATTGTGGCTGTTAGAAAATTAACAATTATAAGCATCTTCAATATCTATAACTTCTTTAACATTTATGAATTATAATAAATTATGATTAGATATTTGAACTTCAATTTTTTTTGTAAAAGTAATCAAGCATTAAATAAATTATGATAGATTGTTTAAGTTAATTAATCTATTTCATTTGATTCTACTTAAGTCTTTGATATTGAAGAATTTTAACAGATTAAATTATATATTTTTCTCATTTGCTAAAATACTGTTTGTAAAATAATAAATCATGAAGGGATATTCTATAATTTATTAAATAGGTTAAATTAAATATCATACACTTCTTAACCTAACAAGTTAATATATCCTGATTTTTGAGAGAGATTATTAGATTCAATCTAAGTATACGTGTTTAGAAACAAGCGCTATGTAATTAATTATTCTATTTAATCATTTGTAAAAATTTTGAAATATATTATGTTTAAGTATGCGAATTAGAAAATAAGGGAGAAATATAATAATGGATTAGTTAAGTGTCTTAAACTAAATCTTTATTATCAGATTAAATTCAACTTTATTATAAATAATATTAAGTTTACTCTAGCAAAATGAAAAAATTAATAATGGTAGATGAAACAGAAAGTCTTTAGCATAATTATAATAAGATATATAAAGCATATAAACCTAAAATGCATCACAATAAAAATTAATTCATCAACTAAAATAATATATTATATAAGCTAAATAATAACAAACTGATTTATTCAATGAATAGAAAAGTGAATTAGAAAATTCGAATTCAAACGAAAGATCCTCAATATTTGATTGATACTCTGAATTAATAATTAGTATGATTTTATTAATAGTTCTATTTGCAATCATAAGAATAATTTTCTTATGGTCAATCATAATAATAAACATTCAAACATAAAGATTTTATAGTAAACTACTTGAATGCAATACAACAATTTCTTATAATTATGATTCCAAAATAAAGAGTGTTTAGGTTTAGATTTAGAATAATTGAATTGAACAACATGATGAGTAGGTTATAAGAAAATGATTTAAAACACTAGTTATGAAGACAACTTATAGTGTTGGCAAAGATAATTTTTTCCGCATTTGGCATAGGACTTACGGTATTTGATATTGTGGTCGCTGTTGGAATCACAATTAAGAGGATAAGAATGGTAAAAATATTTCTTTTCAATACAGTGTGTATGATGTAGTAGAAGTAGGAGTCGATATAGAAAAAAAATAGATTAAGTGGATAAAATAAAAAACAAACTAAAATTTTGTAAATTTATTATTGAAATTTAGAGTCTTGAATTTGATAGTACAACGGATTTATATCCATACATACATATTAAAGAAAAGACCTTGACTTACTTGAAATTTTTTCAATTTAGTTTACTGCGTTTAAAAGAGAAAAAAATATTTATTTATAATAGATAAATATATTGACCTTAGGTGAAGCCTCTATTTGTTATTTCATGATCAATCTTAAACTTAAAGTAATTTAAGCATCTTCCTAATGTAACCCTTTTCTTCACTTAAAAAATTACCACTGGATTAACAATATTAAATCTTCACCATTTTCATTGAAGATCACTTAAAAGAAGCAATGCACTCAAGATCCTGAGACTTCTTATTCATCTTCATATTGAAGTATTTCAACTACTTGTCTCAGAAATGACTGTAAATATAGATATAATTACTTCTTCTAATCTCATGCAATAGGGTTTAGAATGACATCATCCTTCAGTAATTTCATAATATATAGACCTCTTTTATATATTTTGCAAGCTCTTAAGTGTTTAATGTCCTTATACACCAAAAGTTTAATTATTTTTTGGCCAGAAGAAAGGGATGTAGTTAGATTTCTAATTTATTTAGATTGAACAATCTATCTAATTGAAGATGTAATATTAAATTTTATTCTATTTTATTTTAATCCGACTAATTTCATTATTATTCTGATAATATAATTTTGTACTCGGGAAATGATTAAAGAATAGAATAGGATTTGTACTCTGAAAATAATCAACTATGAGAATGCAAAAATATATCATTATAATAATTATTGTTATTATTATGATTAATTTAATTCCATTATAATGAAAATTTCATAAGAAAAATATTCTAATGACTATTTTTAATTATAATAACATTCATTGATTTAATTTCTTTTTGCGAAATTCTAATTTATCATTTGAGAATACCCTTTTGATTTATTGTATATTGATCATTCGGATCAATGGTTAATGATTTCTCATAATAAATTAGAGCCATTTATATTGTTATTAATCTCTTAATATGAAGTGATTTTTGATACATTATACGCAACCTCCTAAAAATTTAGATGATTGGATACCTTTTGATTAAAGAGAAAATGTATTTTTTGGATTGATGGAGAGTGCTTAATCCAATACTTATAAAGACTCATTATATTTTTTCAATATTCTTAAGCATCCTCCTATTAATATAATTATAACTCAAACTACCTTTTTCACCTAAGGAATTAATATGCTTAGGATCAATAGCTAATGCTTTATCCAGCTAACTGATTGCTTCCTCATATTTATTTAAAAGTCTTAAACATGCTCCTATTAATTATCAACTATTTTCATCTTTGCACCATAGAGATTATTAGGATTTTGTTATATTGACGGATCTAAAATATCTATTGCTTCTGTAATTTTATCCTTCCAATATAAATCAAAAGCTAAATATTATCACATCGAATTAACTTAATTATATAACTCCTTAGAATATAATCTATCATCAATTTATTAATAATTAAATGACGATAATTATAATTATTAATATAAATTATCGAATTTATCAGTTAATTTCATAGTCTAATCTGAAATGATTGTTGTGATTGATTATTTGTATTCAATTAATTTGAGGGTTGAATTCAAATAGTCATATATTTACTTTGAGTTTAAATTTATTATTCTTTCTTTTTGCAATGAAGATTTTTATCTGATCCCTCTTTTTAATAAAGAAAATGACTGATTCAGACTTTCTACAAATGTATTTGGATCATCAATCAAATTATCAAATTCTATATTTTTTTTTTTTTTTCTCATCCAAAATCCCATCAAACTATTGATTTTTTCAACATCATCTAAATGATCAAGATGGCTTCTTCCCTTCTTAATACATATAAAATAATTTAATCTAAATTCACTACAAAATGAATTGAAACAAATCGTCTCTATCTCATCCTTATGATCATATTCTTAACATTCTAACTTCATATCTGGTTAAAACTAAATCATTTTTTATACCTAATACATATAAATTTTATTTAACTATTAAAAATCACATTAGCATAGAAATTAATCAAAAATATTAATTCTAGAATGCTTATCGAGTGATTAACAGTTTTACTACAGAATTTTTATTTAAGGTATGGAAGTATTTTAAACGTTTTTGCACTTCAAACTCAGTTGTCACGATCTTAAAATACATTAAGGAGAAGCTGTTCTTCCATCAGAAGTTGAAGCTCCAACAAAATGCTGGTTTTACTGAAAAATTCGATGATTCTAAAAACTAGACTGATATAATAATTATAGAATCGGTTGCAAGTAAATTGATTATTTTGAACTTCATCTGGAGTTAACTGAAAACAAGCATCCTATTTTGATTTGAATTTTTGCTTTTAATTATTCTATAGAAATATCTGTTAAGAATAGAAATATATTAAATAATTAATAAATAGATAATGTTTTTATTTATATTTAAATATATTCTCTTAAAAATAAAATAGATTTCTTATTAATTTAAGAATTGTATTAGTTTGATCTTCTAATTATATGAATTGTTGTAATAATTTGAAGTAGGTCTATTATTTTCAAACTAGTTAAAATAACCTATTAGATTTTCTTCTTCTTTTAATTTCTTGAGTTTTCCAATCATATATCCAGAAATAATCAATTATCTCAAAATTTCTTCATAAGTCATTATTTATACTGGAATAGGTTTTATATTATCATTAGCCTTCAACTGTAATTTGCTGATTAGATACTTCTAATTTGTGAAACAACTAAAAGTATACATTGGTTACAAGTGTTTTTAAAAATTGAAAATGCAGACGAATAAAAGAGTTTCAATACTTTTAATTACCTTTTAGCAGAATCTATAAATTACAAAAGAATCTAACTGTAATATAACGTTATTATCAATAAATTCTGACTTTTTGGCTTTATTTATGTTTCTTAGACAGTTGATATTTCCTTCATATGCATTTATCTACTTTCACTAATTGATGTTGAAAAAATTATATATAGGACAAGAAAAGGTTACTCAATTATATAAAGAATGCAAAAAAATGATAATTAGGACAACTCATACCAAATGTAAAAATGTTGCACTGAAAAGAATTTCTTATTAAAAGATTTAACAGTTAATATTATAATCCACAATTGGTGTTCAAATGATTAGAATCTATCAAAAAAAATATAAATTTATTTGTACTTAATTTATTGATTTCAAAATACTATATTCTCCTCGAAAAAGTATTCAAATTTACAACATTGTTTAAAAGTTAGCAAGACAATTACAGAAACAATACTTTGGATCGTACCTATCCTTATATAAAATGTTAAAACTATTTGTAACTACGCTCTAGTAATTTTGATGATTCAAATTGATGGATAATTGGAGCATTTCTCTGAGCATTTGATATTAATATTGAAATCAATTTCTCTGCATAATTGAGAAATTTAATATATTCGAAACATGTATAAAGCAAATTTGAAAAAATAATAAATTCAAATTTCGATGTTTTTTTATATAGTTCAAATTAATGTGTTCTATATTCTATAATTAATAATCATATTTACTAGAAGGCATAGAGTTTAAAATTTGGATAACGTATCACAAATTGATTAAAATGTAATCGTTATAACCCTCTTATAACTAAGTGCTTCATAAACTGTTTGTAATACAACTCAACTGTTTTATATATAGATCTTTAAATTAAAGTAATAGTATTGTCGTAAATCTGCTAGAGACACATTTTTTTAAACAGATCAAACTACAAACAATATCCCTATCTTGAGTATCAGTCTAAGTATTTATATTCTCAGGATGCTTTTATTGATAGTCATCATTGTAATTATCACTTTATTTAAACAATTTTAGTTAACCTTCCATTTTCAACATGAGCCCTACAGTCCCTATTTATCCATCAAACACCACTTAGTTCTTTCATTCACCTCAATATCAATATCATGTTTTTATGGTTTTGAAATGTAATCATGCTTCTATTTGTCAAAAATACTTGAGGCTCAACTTGCAATATATTGTTAATTAAGTCTAATTCCAAATGAATTTAGCTTTTTTTTGTTCTTTTAGCAGGAAACTAAGATAGTAAGAGATTTGTGTAGCAGTAAAAATATTATAGTATTATTAATTTTTGAATTAAAAGGCTATAATTTTTGAATGAATAAATTTCATGAATTGAATGGCTATCCTATTCGAAGCCCAATCTTATAAATATTTTTAGTAATGAACAGTTGATGAGAAATCTTTATTAGCTACATCCTCAAGGGGCAGCTTCAAAGTAAGAATTTATGTGAAAAAAATTTAACTTAAGTATAATTTGGAATTATTTATTTAAAGTTCTAAACCATTTTTAGATAGATAATTTCAAAAAAATACAATAAATCTTTAGAAAAGATTAATTTCAAATATCTTACAGCACTCTTTAACCTAACCAAATCATGTAGCCTCAGGATTAATTTGATTAAAGTTGAATTTACAACATAATTATCTAAAAAAAGTACGACTTTAATTATAATGAAATAACAGCATCCTAGAATATACTCAAAAATATTTCTAAAGTTATTCTCCACGACTCTTCTAATGATCTAGGCTTAAATTAATGGAAATAATTTGATTAGGGTTTTTCTGAAGATGGTTAATGTCATTCTGCTATGCAAATCTTTTTCATTTTCGAAATTCAGACTTAGTAGGAACTACCTTCCATCGCTCTGACTTGAAATATAACGCTACTTCAAGTTTAAACAATAGTTTCGATGTTTATTGAAAGTGATTGAACGTTTCTGGTTTATTAATTTAGTTTCAGCTTATTCATGTGCCTTGTTTTTTGTTTGAGTTTTATTTTGGAAATTAAATGCTTTATTAATATCTGACTTTGTTCCTGTAAATCGAGTCGCTTAAGTCAGCATCACAAAAATTCTCAATAGTCATATAAACCTTCAACCTTTCTGGATTAAACTTCATGGACATATTTCAATAATATCTTAGTAAGCAATCAAATAACATCATCTGCATATCTTAAAGATCTTTAAGGCACCTATTGATTCAGTACCTTTGCATTACATTATTACAGTAATTATTTCAGATGAAGGAATTTAAGAAAACACTTTGGATAGATATAAAATGTGGGACATTTTAACCAAGAAATATAAGCTCTTCGAAATAAATACCTTAAACTTCAATAGTTCATAAAGTTTCTCCATCTCAATTTTTGTCATATTTTGTTAGGTTGAAAAAACCATATGAGATGGCTTATTGTAGCAATATATGTATTCGTCATCCTTCTCGATCATCTCACCTATCCTTATTTCTTTAAGATAACTTGTCTTTACATCCAAAGTTTCTACTCCAATCTTGTGCATTTGTTTCAAGGTCTATTGTGAGACTCCTAATCTGTTAATACTCCTGTAATTTCTTACATCTTGTTAATGAATTTATGTATATTCATCTTCTAATTAGTAATGTAATCTTATTTTCTAGTCATTTTAATCATCAACTGTTTTCTATTACTTCCCAATATCAAACATTAATATATAAAGCCATTACAGAAACTTTATGATATTCGAGCTAGTGACAGATACTTCAACATCCTTCCCTAGATATCTTGATGAGGCACTTCCCCCACTTTAAATTTCACTCTTCTTCATTATAGTAGTTTCTAATTCCATAAAATCTCAACTCATTTGTAAAGATCTTCCCCTTTATATCTTAGGATAGGGTTTAGTGCCCTTTCAAAATTCCCCTTTCTATGAAATCATTAGAAATCTTTAAAGAAGACATTATTATTAATAAAATATATAAAAAAATATGTTTAATCTTTCTCCATTTTATGCTTGTTCTCAATACTATATTGGTATTGCCAAAAATTAATTAAAACTTTAAATTTCTTTTATGAAAGCAGAGTAGTTTTTATAGTAACTGCTATGAAGCTATCCCATCTGCACTACTAAATCTCAAGTTTCCAAAGTCAAAGCAAACTATATTCGTATTCTTATTGATAATTCCATTAAAGTTACTTGAAATCTATTACCTAATGGCAATTTTAAAGAAACTGCTAGAACCATAGCTTTATTGTTTCTTCTCATGCCATATATTTTCATGAAAATCAGCATTTCAACTAGTTCTAATCCAATATTTGATACCTTTACGATTGTGGCTAATTGCAAAATACTGTTTTGTCCTCCTATAGTTGACTATGNAATGCTTTATTAATATCTGACTTTGTTCCTGTAAATCGAGTCGCTTAAGTCAGCATCACAAAAATTCTCAATAGTCATATAAACCTTCAACCTTTCTGGATTAAACTTCATGGACATATTTCAATAATATCTTAGTAAGCAATCAAATAACATCATCTGCATATCTTAAAGATCTTTAAGGCACCTATTGATTCAGTACCTTTGCATTACATTATTACAGTAATTATTTCAGATGAAGGAATTTAAGAAAACACTTTGGATAGATATAAAATGTGGGACATTTTAACCAAGAAATATAAGCTCTTCGAAATAAATACCTTAAACTTCAATAGTTCATAAAGTTTCTCCATCTCAATTTTTGTCATATTTTGTTAGGTTGAAAAAACCATATGAGATGGCTTATTGTAGCAATATATGTATTCGTCATCCTTCTCGATCATCTCACCTATCCTTATTTCTTTAAGATAACTTGTCTTTACATCCAAAGTTTCTACTCCAATCTTGTGCATTTGTTTCAAGGTCTATTGTGAGACTCCTAATCTGTTAATACTCCTGTAATTTCTTACATCTTGTTAATGAATTTATGTATATTCATCTTCTAATTAGTAATGTAATCTTATTTTCTAGTCATTTTAATCATCAACTGTTTTCTATTACTTCCCAATATCAAACATTAATATATAAAGCCATTACAGAAACTTTATGATATTCGAGCTAGTGACAGATACTTCAACATCCTTCCCTAGATATCTTGATGAGGCACTTCCCCCACTTTAAATTTCACTCTTCTTCATTATAGTAGTTTCTAATTCCATAAAATCTCAACTCATTTGTAAAGATCTTCCCCTTTATATCTTAGGATAGGGTTTAGTGCCCTTTCAAAATTCCCCTTTCTATGAAATCATTAGAAATCTTTAAAGAAGACATTATTATTAATAAAATATATAAAAAAATATGTTTAATCTTTCTCCATTTTATGCTTGTTCTCAATACTATATTGGTATTGCCAAAAATTAATTAAAACTTTAAATTTCTTTTATGAAAGCAGAGTAGTTTTTATAGTAACTGCTATGAAGCTATCCCATCTGCACTACTAAATCTCAAGTTTCCAAAGTCAAAGCAAACTATATTCGTATTCTTATTGATAATTCCATTAAAGTTACTTGAAATCTATTACCTAATGGCAATTTTAAAGAAACTGCTAGAACCATAGCTTTATTGTTTCTTCTCATGCCATATATTTTCATGAAAATCAGCATTTCAACTAGTTCTAATCCAATATTTGATACCTTTACGATTGTGGCTAATTGCAAAATACTGTTTTGTCCTCCTATAGTTGACTATGAGTCCAAGTTTATGAGTTATTTGAATGAAGATTCTTGTGCACGTCAATGTAACTTCTTAATTAGCAATCATCTCGACGTTGTCAGACAAAAAAAGGAAATGAGCAAAAGGAATATATTTTTAAATCTCGAAAAATTATAATAATTTAAATCTATGATTATTTTATGGGCTCTTTGCAGATTATGTTAAAATAAATTACTTCTTACATCTCTTTCTCTTGTATCTAAGACTTCTTGATGTTTTTTATGCTAAATTCCAAATATATAGCTCCTAATAATGTAGTATTTCTAAATGAATTTGATAAAATATATACTCTCCCTTCTAAATCGTAATTTTATGCACTTATATATCAGTAAGTTTTTCAGAAGATTTGATTAGCAAATCAAAGTTTATTGACAAGTATTCAATAAAGTTTATTATTATTTAGACCATAATAATAAAAGCTATTCTTAAAAACTGTATGATCTAGTCTAAATAATTATTTTAGGAACAATCAAATGGGTGCTATTCTAAAAGTGATTTAAGATTAAATTTTACCCTTAATTTATTACAAAATAATATTTAAGCAGGTTAGGGTATTTTTTATCCAATGTTAAAATCTTTTCTTTTGTTTCAAAATAATCATAACTTATGTATAACTTTGGTGATGAATCAAGGTTTAAAACTTTGAAAGAAGAATTTTAAAATAAGCTTGATTAAATAATTGATCAATAATTACCATTTTTTAGATGGAACTTCTTTTCTATATAACTCCAGCAAAAATACACACATTCTTCTTTAGCAGTGATGGCTAAAAGTACTAATATGAGTCACATTTTAATTTGAATTATTGTTGCACTTCATAATGATAATGTAAATATTAATGTAATTAAATTTCCATAAATTTCAAATGTAAATCTCAGATGGGTTTAATTCCCAAATAAGAAGGCACCCCTCATAATCACTCCCAAATATGGAACAATAGGTAAGGAGAAGAGAAAATTTTTTTTAAAGATTTTTAATTAGACATTTTCTGTAATGAACAGAATTTAACAAGAACGTGCAATCAATCAGTATTTAAAAGAATGGATTTATATCGACCATATCAAATATCATCGAAGCTAAGTTTATAATACATAGATGAGACTAATTCCCAGACAGGGACCTCATCCTAATTGGTGATTTAAATTCCAAAATGACATTTTATATTTTTCTTGGTGACCTTAGTATTTACATCATGCCATTCTTCATAAATCGTAGATGGACAATCTTGATTCATATAATAGGGAGGAGGAAAGATTCGGAGATATAACTTATGCAGTAGGATTGGTCTGAATATATAAGAACAGCAAGAGAAGACTTATAGTTTAGGGAACAAGGAAAGCAGAGAAAGAGTAATTAAGGAGTTAGTCTAGGAAGAAATACAGTAAGGTATTTAAGGTATTGGAGAAACACTTAAAGGATTAAGATGTAAAATAGCTTGGAAATCCTGTCAGACGCGGATTCAGTTAAGAGCCAACGGATGTTCAGAAAGATGAAGATCGGCTCCCTAGATTGTATAGTTGTTCAAGAAAAAAGTATAGTAGAAAAAGAGGCATTGATATAATAAATTTTTAACCAAAATCGATTAAGCTCCTAAGTAGGAAAATAAGAACATCTCTCTAGTACCAGAGAATATTTTCCTCGAAGATTGAGGAAACCATAATTACCTTAAGCATTTCGTCAAATTGAATTGAAAATTCCTAGAGAGACCAAAGAAAAGAACTGAAATATAGTATAATCAGGAAAGACTTTCAATGATATCAAACATAATTTAATAGGCAACTTTGAATATCTACCTAATAAACTAAATGATTTAGACGATGATTTAATGGTTTGATGTTTTCAATTGGCTTCCTATATTTTGCATAAGATGCTAAGGCTTTATTTGAAGTACATAATGTTCCTAGTGTGATAGTGATCAGATTAATAATTGAGGAGGGAAAGGGACTTGAGTTCTTTAGGCAAAATTTAGAAGACAGAAAACAGATGGATTCAACAGAGTTTAAATATTTAGTTTTTCCTTCAAACAATAATTGCATAAAATTTAACACTTTTTTTCTTTAATAAATTTTATAATTGAGAAAAAAAGCATATTTCTAAAAACTTCGCCCCTCATTAATTAATTAATGATATTCAAGTTAGGCTATTTTATCGATCTTTTGTACCATTTCCTGCATCAGCCTTATTATTTGTGATCAATTCTACTAAATTTAAGCTTGCCAACGAATCAATATTTTAAGAAAGGAATTTTCCTAACCAAGTAAGCTCCTATTATTATGAAGGTGTGTTTCATCCTTTAATTAGATGACTAAATGCACAATTTCTTCTTAGTTGCCAAATAAAGTCAAAACCTAATGATTTGTCCAGTTATTTTATAAATCATTAACTTATTCTTATAAGTTTAAAGTGTGGAATTTCTAAAATGCCTAGGCAGGCAAAGGAGCCAAATATTATCAATTAGCTATTTAAAAAGCCCCCTCCACAAAAAGGTGGACCTTCGAATGCATTTGTAGTTTTATCTGATCAATTCCTTTAAATTTACTTTTTAAGATTTCATCCAGATCATTCAAAAATAAATATAACAATAAATAATACTCATCAATAAAAACCAAAATTTAAACTTATCCTTAGGATGTCGTTTCTTATAAATTTCCAAAAGTTGAAATTCAAAATATAATTAAATAATATGCCTAAGCAATATATATTTTACACAAAAAAACAGACCTATAGATCTATCATCAAAAGAATCCATTGCATTTATCTTTAGAATGTAGTTTAGTTCCTAATTACCTTCAACATCCTTTTTAACTCGTAGTCCAACTAAAGGTTGTTCATTCTGATTTGATTAAAAGAGAGTCGGATCATTAGTATTCTCTTCATCATTTTTATCTTCAAAATTAATATCTATTTAATTAAAGTAATTGCTATTAAACCATCTTTTCCAATTGCTCCAATTATTCTTAAATCTAATGTTTATAATTATTTGTATAATCTCCATAATTGCCATGCTTCTGGTACCTTTAAATTCTTCCAAATATTGTTTCATCTGAAAATACCATTACAGATACAAATAATTTATAATTTTTCAAATTGGGCTTCATCACTAGAGTTGGATTAAACTACTTTTTAAATTTGTGCTCTTTCTTTTTCTTAGGATAGTTTTTGAAGTCAACATATTTCCGAAGCAAGGACCAGAATATCAACAGATATTATATTCATTTATCTAAACACCACTCAGATGCACAATGGGAAAAACAGTTCATCTATATTACAAACATTACAAGAAGTATAATATATAATACTAAACTAAATCCAAATAAATTTCAGATAAGAATTGCCAAAATTAAATTATGTAATTAAAATCAAGAATGTTCGTCGAAGAATATCAAAAAAAAGTTAATCCTCCAAATCTATGTTAATTAAATTAGTGACTTTAAATTAATAAGTAAGTTAAATTTGATCAAGTTACTTAAACTCTCTTTCATGAATGAAATAAAGCCATATTGTATGGATTAAAACATCAAAGTAATATTAATTTTGGAGAGCACTAAATATTGAAAAAGAAATGTTATTCCCATAACTGAATTAATCAGTAACAATAAAACAATTTTCTTTAGATTAAAAAATTCAGAACTGAAGTTGCAATTGATGTTTTTAGCTCTACCTACAAGAATATGTGTAACATGGCTGCTACATTAATGAAATTTACACTTTCGTCAAAAATTTTTATTTTAGCTTGGTTACTATTATACAAAGTCTAATTCTTTTTAATTTTGGATGAATTCTTTTCCTTGTCTAAGAATCATTCTATAAAAATGACCTAGTCAGTTATAATAAATAATTTATATGCATTTTTCATGTAGTTGATGTGTGCTAGTCACCAGGATATTTGATTAGTAGTCCAATTAAGGAACTAATTCTTTCGAATTGTATTAATCAATTATTGATTGTTATTTATTCAAAATTTAATTAGTATAAATAGAATTATTAAACTATCATTTTCAACACTAGGTACGCCCAAGCTTACGATAAATAAATCGATTATTGAATCTATGGTTTTTATACTTGTAATTTTATCTAAAATCAATTCAAGTATCAACCGATTAAATACAAGTGCTTAATTTCCACTGAGACATTTTAGCCAACTTCTTATTGCTGAACTTTTAAATATTTCATTTTCAAATGCTACCTTAGTTTCAATGAATAGACTTATTAAATTTAATAAATAACTTATCTTATGTTTTACCAAATAATACATATATTCCACAAATCACAAAATAGTGTAATGCTAATCAAGTCAAATTATCACATCTTATTTTAATTTTGAAATTGTTCATATTCTTTAAGGAGAATAAGCTTTAAAAAAGACAGAAATAACGATTAATAAATAATCCTTAGCAGCTGTGTGATCTAAGTTAGGCAGGAATCCGAATCAATAAATTCATTTATAACCCAGTCTTATAAATTTTGTGATCTAGAATAAATCTATATAATGAAATAATAACAACACATCCATTAAGAAAAGTCCACGCTATCATAGATGTTAGGAATTGTTTTTGAAGATTTATGTCATAGTAGATGTCTCCTAACTTGGTGGATTTTTGCTCAGCATAGATATTATTCATAGTTTGAAATTATTTTTCTACTGCAATCAATGTCCATGTGAAGGAGAAAATATAGGATTTTATATTTAGCTCGTCAAAGTTTTTCAGTTATTATACCCATGCATTTTATTTGCCAACTACCTTGTGATCAAATTTGCCATGAAAGTCAATGATTACCATAAGTGGATAATGCTTTTACATATTTACAAATTCAATTATGTAAAAGACATTTATAAAAAGTTAATCTTAAAAATATTTGTGAGTATTTTAATATCCAAATGAAAATTAAATACTAAAGTAAACAGTATATTTAGTCTGTTTCCAAATGAGAGGTGCTAAATACATATAAGCAACATTAAGTATTGCAATGAAATTCTCAACTCTTATAGGATCGTCATTTGGTTGTAGAATGAGCATGAATAACTCGAAATATTAATGCACTCAGTTACTAAATTAGAAGTTAGAATAGCTGATTTTATAATATATAAGGCTTCATATTTGAGTGTAAAATTAATTTTATTAACTCTACAATTATGATTCCTTAATCGAATTTTAAAGGATATACAACTTTTTTTCTAGATTTTTCCTTTTCATTTTTTTAAGTGCTATGACTTGAATTTCGTTCAACAATAGATTATATCAATAGCTTGCTTTCTTTCAATGGCATTGGTTCGATTTTTGGTATTATTAAGTTAATACTTTTCTAAATTGAAGTCCTTTTTTTAAAGGTTAAGAAAAAATTACTTGCATGTTGATAAAAAATTACAATGTCAAGAAAAAGATACAGTTCTGTTT